TGTAGGAAACTTTGTTACAATTTGAGGATAGTTGTTATGTTTACGTAGATGCGAAAAAATATCACTTAGCCTCGTTTTCAACCCGCAATTTCACGCTAAATACTTCGCTTCGTTGACCAATCAGAATGCGAGATAATAATAATGTGATTTTATTTTAAAAAAGGTCGTTTCGAATGACGGTTTATTTTTGACCAGGTAAAGAGAGCATAATTTTCTGTCTGACCTCGTGTTGTACAACAGCTTATGATTAATTCCACTATCATCCTTTAAGTGGTGTATAAACAAGACTCATAGCAAAACCATAAGGTAAGGTTATGCATTTTTTCTAACAATTTCTTTTTCAAATGATGATTTTATTCAAACTTTATTTCACTGCCAAGTAAAATAAAGTTTGAATAAAGAAATGGAAATATATAAAATTTCTGTTTCGATCGTGGTATTGTTCACAGCGAAGACGAAGACCTATATGCCAAAAAGTTATTTTTCAAAAGAATTTTCAGAAAAATTTATCGTGAAACAAAATCGTTTGACACAATACGTTTTATTATCATCACACAGCACAAAGTAGAGTACAAATAACGCGTGAATAGAGTACAAATATCCTGCGATAATTTACGGCACAACTCGTGAAAATACTCAGCGATACTACACACCAAAACATCCATCAGCGAGATATATTTATCAGGCATATTCATATGTGAGACGAAATCGCCCCAATGTTTTGAGACAACTGATGAGATCGTAGCTTGTATACTTTTTGGTGGAAAGTATTAGTGGCCATTTTGTCTTCAACATAATAATCAGACGTCTTGAATTTTTGCTAACGTTTATTCGTAATTGTTTCCTTAATCTACAATGATCAGAGTTTTATAGAGAGATAACTTTAATTTAGGGCAGCCTACGTAATTTGTACTTTTATTTAGCGCTTATGGAAAATATTTGTATGAAACATTAAGTTGATGGAAAATGCGTTTATTCAAATTTCCTTCATTGGTAGACAGGGAGATCGATCTCATTATTTGTAATGTTAGCGGGAGTCTACCAGCTGTGTGAATTTGAGCTGGAATATGATATACCTGTTCTGTTATCCGCTAGCTAATCATTAGGGTACATTTGATCGCTTGCATTAGGATGAATTTTTTAGATGACTAATAATTAACGTTACATAAAGAATATGATCTTTTCACAAACAATTATCGCAGGTAGGAAAAAAAATCGACACATTGGGCCTTACGCTATGACATATCTTATCTTTGTTCTGACTATAGGGGGGAGTTTGTCATGTTCACTCACCTATTTCAAAATGTCATTTTTAGTCGCCATCATTCACATATCGAAAAAGGAAAAAATAGAAAGAATCAAAGGGCTCTTCGAGTCAGCTCAGTCATGTTATGGCTTAAGTTTGTATTGATTTCTTGGACTTACTGAATATAGATATAGTTGGATTCGGTTTATGTGAACTTTCAAGACAGCAAAATATTAGTTACGCTCATCTTTCACGATCATTTCCACTATTGTGAAATATTCCTTGCTATCTTTTGTTTTAAGTAAAGCAGCCGTTGTGTTTGGTTTTTAACAAAGAGACCACAATCGTTCTTAATAGAATTTCAAGCCTTCATGCAGTCTGATTTTCACATATTATTATTTGCGTAGTCACCAATCAGATGAGAGATTAAACCACCAGAAAAGTAAACAAATGGCCAGTCACGAAAGCAACGCTTTGCTTTTGGGCCCATCCGCATTAGCAGACAAAACTAGAATTGTTTCGACAAAATTAAAGGACAAATCTTGTGATGACAAATTTTTGCCTCCTCTGTTGCATCCACCCTAAAAATGTCGAAGTTGTCAAAAAGCTACTAAATTCGGTTCACCTCTGGATCTTGGGCGGCCACATATACAACTTCATTATTGGTCTGATGAAGCGGCGACTAGAAAATTACTCCACTTTTGTAGGTTGCCCCGGCTGAATGAAAATTGTTTCCTTGTTGGTCTTCATAGAGTGGCACATTCGAGCACCTGTTCTGCTCATACGTCTGGTTGCTATAATTTGCCAATGGATCAAAACTCCAATTACCGGGATTCATCTTAAGTTAAAGTTGTAAAATGTGCGAGTTTCGCAGCGAAGGACAATTACTGCAATCTTTTGGTAAACTGAACCCAGTACCATTACCACACTAATGGTAACGTTTACCACAAATGATAGACAAGTTCATCACGGTTTTGTTAATTTAGTAGATTTTGCTAAGCTTTTACCCGGGACAAATTTTGTCGACGGAGCGTTTGAAAATTTGTCCACTTCGGCAAAAAATTGTCAAGCCGCGACAAACCAACCGCACTTGTAAAGTGTTGGTGATGATGGAAAATTTGTCTAAGTAACCAATTTTGTCGCTAGTGCGGATGACCCTTTCCCTTTTAAAAATTGGCCGTTTCCTCATGTAAGCCAAAAATAATGTAAGGCACATATGTGAAAATCAAAGTGTGTACACCCTGAACGTTGAAAATATATCAAGTCGAAGTTGCAGTTTTGGTCTCGGTCCGCATTTTTGTTGATAAAATGAACACATATCGATTAAAAAGATGAAACATACCGACCACGTACAAAGATGAGAATCTAAACGGCTCGGGTCGCGGGTCGTTGGTTAACTGTCGCGGGTCGCGGGTAAACTGTCGCGGGTCTCGAAAATTGTCGCGGGTGCAGGAACAATCCGTCTTCGTTTATCATTGCGGTGACCTTACCTGCCCTTCAAAGCCTTCTATCTCTAAACAAGTCGAGGATGTAAGACAGACATTGCGTGACAACCTCGCTCACTAAGCTCATCTAAGCATCGTTGGAACCAAACAGAAGTTGCGTAATAAAGTGTGGTGGCCCGGGATGGAAAAGGATGCTGAAAAACACTGCAAAACCTGCTTTGGATGTCAGTTAGTCAGCCGTCCCAGCCCACCAGAGCCTATCAGGAGCACAGCATTGTCGACTGGACCATGGAGAGATTTGACATTTGATTTTATTTGCTCGGACCACTCCCCACTGGTGAGTCCATACTGGTCGTCGTGTATTACCATAGTCGCCACCACTACACTACTATAGTTGCTACTACCAGATAGACATCATGAGATCCACAGTTGCCTTTAAAGTCATCTCGAGTCTAGAAGAGATATTTGCAAGACATGGTCTACCTGAGAGCCTGACATCTGACAATGGAACACAGTTTGTAGCAACAGAGTTTACAGAGTACACGGAGCAGCAGGGAATCAGACATCACAGAGTAACAGCAAAATGGCCCCAGGCAAATGGAGAAGTTGAGCGCCAAAATGGCTCACTTCTGAAAAGACTCCAAATCGCACATGCTGAAAAGAAGGACTGGAAGAAAGAGTTGAATGTTTATCTTGCAGCGTACAGAAGCCTAACTCACTCAACGACTGGTGTAAGCCCCTGCCGAGTTGCTCTTCGGACGGAAAATTCATACCAAACTCCCTGAGCTTAGCGATGTATATGTCGAATAAGAAGTGCGTGATAGAGACAATTAACAGAAGAGTAAGAGCAAAGCGTATGCTGACGTGCAGAGAAATGCGAGGTACTCAGAGGTACTCCCTGGAGATGAAGTACTAGTGCAACAAGAGAGGAAAAACAAGCTCACAACCCGTTTTGAACCAAGTCCGTACACTGTGGTAAACAAGCATGGCAAGAGCTTGATCGTACAATCTCCAGGAGGAGCCCAATACTACGCAATACATCTCATGTAAAGAAACTGCTAGAGAATGGTGATACACATCATAATACACCAAGTATACCGGAAGTGGTGATGACTGGAGAGCCCCATAAGCAGGATAAACTGACCCCGCAGCAGAGTGTGGTGATACCGGAACCAAATGTTGTTGAGCCTGAAGTTCCACTTAGGAGGTCCCAGAGACACAGAGTGGCCCCAAGCTATCTCAAAGACTATTATACTTAAACTCTAGACACTGAAATCTCAGAGACATTGTTGACTTTGTTGCCAGTCCATGTTTATGTTTATTGGACCAATTCTTGGTTTGTTTCTAATTCTACTAAATGTTATTGTTTTCTATCTAAATGGGGAGGGATATGGTGTATTAGGACCCAGACTCTCCTCAGTGGTGCATGTAATGCCCGACTGTAGTTGTTAAGGACCATGAGTCGTGTAGCGGAATAAACCTATCGTTTAAGGTTTAATCCGTTGTAATCCTCCGTTATTTGCCGACAAGATCGGTCACAATAACAGCGCGGTGTTGAAATGAACCCGCTACGAGCTTCATCGAAATTAATTTTGGCTTTCACTAAGTTGTATGTGAGACTACTTCCGTTCACGGTCCACAGTGCAACTTCCGTCTATGGAATACAACTTCCGTCCACGGTCTACAACTTCCGCCAACATCTGCTTTACCACAATACCTCCTTCATTGCTTTCAGCATGAAATGAGCAATTCATTGCTTTCAGCATGAATGAGCTAAAAATGAGATAAGCTTGTGGCCTATTTATAAGAAACAAATTGGCTGTTCTTGCTATCGATGAACTATTTGGAAAATGTACAAAAATGATTCTTTCAACTCCCATTGTCATCTCGTTAATACGGTCGCCAAACGGAAGCATGCATATGACGGATAAAAACTGAACTGGTCAACTTTTTGCTTCCAGGAAAAATAATTATTTCAGACGACACGACTCATATAATGAGTAAAATTCTCCCTCACTTCTACCTCAGTTTAAAAAGGCAATATTGGTCAATATTCAGATCTTTTAATCTCAATGAATGGACACTGAATCCTTAAGTTTCAATGCTGGCGGGTATTCTCACGTTTGACACTCAACTGAAAACATCTCCTCTTACATTTCTCAACGAGGTTGAGAGATAAATTCAATCTTCCAGAAACGAGAGTTCTTAGGCACGTGTCCACTTTAAGGACCAGTTCAGCGGCTGGATATCTCTCCGTTAACATGTACATTTTTGCCTAATGAAGTTACATTTTCCATGAGCCGAATAACTGACCAAGATGTCTTTTCCTTCAGATGTAGTCCTTCTGGGACGGAAAAAATAAAATTTAAAAAGAAGGCGAATTTATCTGTCTTAAATATATGCTACATGTAAGGTAAAGCTGAAGTTAAGAGGCAAAATTAAAACCACATATATATGGAAAATTTTTTTTTAAGAATTATGTATTTGAGTTGAAACGAGTTTATGGGAATAAGTGAAAGAAAACAATGAAGTCCTATACTTTTTAGTGGAAGTTTTGTGTAAAATCGCCAGATTTTTAACTCACTTTTTCATTTTCCTCTGTGTAACTGCCTGAGTTTAGGTACAATAAGTTAATGACAACCTAGTTCGACTTATGGCCTCAATTTACTACGTTCCTCTAGAAAATAACTTATTTAATTATGAATAAACAATCCCTCTTGCAGGCCACTTCAAAAATATAAACAAAAAATTTGTCAACGTGTCATGATGATGAGTAGCTTTTGGCTTCGAGAAGCGTCAATGTGTTTAGTACTATCAACTCTTACTGGCGCTTTATGGATCCTTCCATTCGTCAAAGGTGAAACATGCGATTCCAAACTCAAGAGTAAGTAGTGTTAACTTCTTTTAAACGTCCTAGTTAAAGAGCATGTTTATGCCAATTTTTTCTTGTGTGCACATTAAATGAATGTGTGTATGTACAGAAACTGTAAAATGGCTACCAAATAAACAGCTCTTAGGCAGAGGATCTAGAGAATGTAGGAATCTTCATCAAAATGTTTAGCATGTGTAGATAAGAAAGGACGTAGGTAAACTCTTGACTGATCCAGCGTTTAAATGCACGCGCAACGTTTCGGCCTTCGACCTTTTTCAGGTGGAACATAAAAGTTAAAAATTAATATTAAAAAGCTACATTAAAACTCTTGATCAGTCAAGAGTTTGTGAACTACACTTACTAAGTTTATAAGATGGATTTATTAATGATCTTTCTCATCGTTGGATAGGCTGTAAAGAGATAAAGACATAAAAGTTAAAAATTAACTTTAAAAGGCTACATTATAACTCTTGATCGGAAAAGAGTTTGTGAATTACAGTTACTAAACAATAAGATAGATTTATTAATAATCTCTCTCATCGTCGGATAGGCTGTAACGAGATTGCATATTATTGATTTTTTTAAATTATCGTTTAATTTCTCCAACCCAGTCAGACCCATTGTGGACATATCTTCAAGTCCAGAAAACAACAGATTACCCTTTGGTGCCTCCGTTACCCTGACTTGTACAGCGGAGCCCAAAACACTGGATAAAGGATATCACGATAGATGGGTCAATTATATCGAGTGGTACGATCCACAGAATAAGGAAACTGGAGCTAAGTGCCGGCAGCCTTCAAACATACATGCACACAAACGTAAATTAAGCTGTCCATTAGTGCTTAAAAATCTGACAGTTGATAAATTTGGCCGCTACACCTGCCAAGCTGGCAATGGTTACAGAAACCACTGCACGAGGAAATCATTTGAAATAGTGATTCAAGGTAAGCAAACCAGGCTTATAATACCCTTAATAAACAATTAGTCCACCCGCACTTGTTGGATATGCGATGATAGTGGAATAGTTGTTGAATCAAAAACGCCCTTGGACATTTATACATTAATCTTGCCAACTTTATTTTGTAAGAACAACGGATTGTTACAATGTACAAGAATGCTTCCGGTGTAGCTCGTCTCCGTGCGCGCACACAGTATAATGACCCATAACCTATAATGGCTAAGTCATGAAAACTTTTGAACTGCATTATCCAAAGATCCAGTTTTTGATAATGCGAAGATGTATGTCGAAGATGTTTCATTCAGGAATAAGGAGTCTCAAATAATCAGCCCCTCCTGGAATCAGAAACTCCTGGAATGTATGAACAGGAAAGTCCAATACATAATTTATTGCAAAAGGAAAATTCCGTTGTGTGGCCATTGGCTGACAAGACTCGAAACGTAGTAAACAAAGAACGAAATTCTTCACTCAGATAACGATTAAATTTGAATCAGGAGCAATTCGATCGACCTGTCCTAATGCATATCTCATTACTTGATACAGCCGAACCCGTATTAAGCGGCCACTCACTACGAACGGTGGTGTGACCGCTTAATGTAGATTGACCTCTTAATACAGTTTCCACCGATAGGGGGTATTATAGCAAAAAAAAAAAACAAAAAAAAAACAAGCAAAAAACCAAAATCATAACATACACAACGCCACTAACGCCACTGTTATAATTGACCACTTTATGTACAGAATCTCGCTGAAAAACACTGTTTACTTCGATTTTGGGAGAGAGACATGGATGAAAAGTTATTTGAATGATTTTTCTTAATTTTATTCGGGTGGTTCGGCTATAAGTGGCCATTAAAAACGGGTGGAAGGAAATACAAAGAGGCCGTTGGGACTTAGTAAAGGTCGACTGCGACCGCTAAGTAGAGGCAACTGCTTGATACAGGTAAAAATTACAGTGATTACAGGGAAACAAATTGGTACTTTGGCAACTGACAAACACTAATGCAACCGACTGCTTCACACAGGGGTGGTCACTGAATACGGTGCCGGCGATACTGAAGCAATATATATTTATTTATATGAATTATGTATTTGGGTTGAAACGAGTGTATGGGAATAGGTGAAAGAAAACAATGAAGTCCTGTACTTTTTAGGGGAAGTTTTGTGCAAAATCGCCAAATGTGTAACTCACGTTATCATTTTCCTTTGTGTAACTGCCTGACTTTGTAAATTTAGATACAATAAGTTAATGATTCCAAATATTCTTCGGAAGATGAGAAAAGAATTATTTTGTGAATCAAAAAAAAGGTAATGGTAATTATTAGAATGAAAAAAGGAAGACGCTCACACTCAAGGAGGGTTGGCCTGAAATAGTTCTTTCTTAGTACCTGCATATGCAATTTATCTTCTTGTGTGACACAAAAGTGTGATAATGAAAATATCTTCTTCTTCTGCCGACATTTGCTTATTGAATAAGCTTCCTACCAGATTATATTAGTAATAACAGGGGATATTTATTGCAATGTACGTTTTCCCTCGAGGTCCTGCGCCAGAGTTAGTTGGAGTTCCTCGGAACCAAAGCACTGATATAGGAGCCAATGTAACTTTCAAATGCACCGCTACAGGTCTTCCTAAACCAAACATCTCATGGATCAAAAACAATGATTCATTTGCCTTACAATCCAACCCAAGGGTTACATTCATTAACAATCCACATTCATTAACAAACCACAAAACCATGCACAGCCAGTTGTTTATTACAAGAGTGAAGAAAGAAGATTTTGGCAAATATCAATGTGAGGCCAAAAACAGTGGTGGTAAAAATTTGTCGTTGCCAGCTTTCTTAACCCCGAAAGGTACAGGTTAGTCATTAATATGCATTATTGTTTGTTTTCTTTATAATTTCAAAGTTGAAACTCTACGAAGTCTTCTACTTGCATGTCAACTCAGTCTCCCGATGAAACTCCCCCATCACCAAGTAAGCGAGATATTTCAGTAGATTGTAAAAACTCTCTGTGTCACCAGAGTATCGAGAGCTAGAAAATAAGCAGTGTTATCTGTAAAATGCAAAATTTAAAATTTTTCATT